GAGCCTGGTCGTGGTGCAAGGCGCGGCTGATGCAGAGTTGGAGTCCAGCCACCTCGGAAGGCTGCCTTAGGCTGGTCGCGATCTTCGTCCTTGACGTCGCCTTGGGCAGCCGGTGGCATCGGGGCTGATGGTCCAGCAAAAGCCTTCCTCCTCTCCGTCACGGACGGGCCGGTAGGCTCTCCCGGCTCAGGGTCGTCCTTCTTGGCGATCCCTCTGGCCTTCGCACGCCCCTGTGAACCTTCGGGGCTCTTGGAAGGAGACCTCTTCTCAGGAGAAGGTGGAGGCGAGGAGTCGACCACAGGTCCTGGAGGTGGTTCGATGTCTTCGTCGTCCTCTGGTGGTGGACCAGGAGGGTCTTTAGGAGGGCCTTCTGGCTGGCCATGATCATGGATGACCTGCCTCATCTGGTCGATGTTGGCACTACCTTTTATGGCCAGCTTGTACTTGCCATTTTCGCGGCGGTAAAGTACCCTCGTGCAAAACCACTTCTGCGCCGAGGAGCTGTAGTACCAGCAGGCGCATCCATCAGGGAATGGATTCTCTGAGCCGTCTTCCGCCGCCCATTCTTCGTTCAGGTCTGGTCAGTACCGGCGGCGGATCCGGCAGCAGATGCAACAGCCATCCACTCTTCGTCCGCGGACCCAGCGGCTGGCGCCGCGCCCGCGGGTGGCCCCGCACCTCCGCTGGAGTCTGCGGGTGACCCCGCCTCTTCATGGAATCGGCGGTTCCATTCTTTGAGGCGATGGTCTTTAGGAAGCTGTTCCCAATTTTCCCTGACAGTGTCAGCAACCTCCTCGGTCATAGGGACGCGATCGGCTTCGGTAATGCGCTTTCCTCCTCCAGGGACCTTCTTGTTAGGATCGTGGACGGTGCCAGCGTCATCTCCATGAGACCAGTTCCAGGGGGTCTCACCGTGATGAGGGCTCCTGGAGGGGCGGTCCATTGGACAGCCGCGCATGTGACCTTTGAAAGGTCGCATTGACATACTTGTTTCCTGTATGTCTTGCGATCGTTGATGATCTCCTGTTTCTTAGCCTTTCGGTCCCAAGCCTCTGGCGTTTTAGTCTTGCCACCTTTGGTGCGTATTATGATGCCAGATTCGTCCCGTTTGCAGTGCTCCTTGGACCACCAGTGGCGGATCACGTCCATCGGGTAGCCGGGGTACCAATTGATGTACCACTCCGGCACGTACTGAGCGGATACACCTCTGGAGTGCTCCGTGCTGTACGGGTAGCCAGATGCATCATGTGTAGGGCGTCGTGGAGCTGAACGGCTCCTCCTGCGGGTTGGCCCCGCTGACGCACTGCCACGTTCCATGGGCCTTTCATCTTCATGACGGTGCTCTGGATCTCGAGGTGGCGATGGTCGTCTGTTCTTCTTTGCATTGCGCCTGTCCTCCGAGTCCTCTGAGCTGTCCTGGACCATGAATACGTGCTGATGCGGGCTTTGGAAGTACCCGATGTCGGTCAGCTGCTCCATAGCGAGGTCGTTGAGGTCCATCTGGTCGCAGCCCTGCATGAACTCGTCCATAGACCAAGCGGGCAGCCCCGCTGCTGCAGCTGGCGCCGCTTCAGCGGGTGGCCCCGCTAGGGCCTGGAGCGCGGTCAGCATCTGCGGTGCCGACATATCAGGATCCAGGTATGGACGCAGCCTTGCGGCCCCTGGGCGCGACAGCAGGTCGTTCATGGTCATCTGCTGATGTGCTGGCGCACTCAGGAGCTGGATCGCTTCTGCGACCTGCTCTTGGAGCCTGTCCTCATAGTCCTCTTCGGCCTCTTCAGAGTCAGAATAAGCTGCGGGATGGCCCCGCATTTCGTCGTCAGCGTCTCCCGCTTCCGAGCCGGCTCGCGAAAGATCAGGCAGCAACGGCACGCCGATCACCTGCGGTGCCAGCGCGGCGGCGAGCTCCTCCTCGGTCGCCGGGACGGTCTCAGCTTCGGAGATCTCGTCGTCGGCGGGTGGCCCCGCTGGAAGACCGAACCAGGCGTTGAACGCGCCCTCGTCGACTTCGTCCCAGCCGTGGAACTCGTCGAAGAGGGTCACCGCGTACTCTTCCAGGGCTACGGTCGCATCAGCGTAGCGGGCCATCACGTAGTACGTGGAGGAGCCCGCGGCGGGAGCCGCTTCTGGATTGACGTAAAACTCGTAGTCAATGTAGTCTATGTCATCCATAAAAGAGTTTTGAGCCAAATGTACGGATCCCTTTCCTTTCCCCTTCGGGCAATGATCGCGCAAATGCTCTGTACTACAGCATGTATGACAGGTTACCCCTCCGCCCTTTTCCCTTACCAGAGGTCCGCCTGTGACCCCGACCTTTGCCTGCGATAAGAACTTCTTCAAAAACTACATCAGTTAAGGACGTGAGGAAAGCAGTGATACCCCTACCATGCATACGGCGTCTGCGACCCCCTTTGCCACGACCCTTTCCATAGCGTTTGAAATATCGGCGTACTGCACGTCTCACTTTTCTGACCGGTTTCTTCATAATGCGCCTCCAACGGCGTTTTGATTTGCGATAAGCCATAAAAGCGGCTTCCGCTCTCTGTCGTTCAGAAAGGTGAGTGTCATCAGCTGGATAGTCATTGCCAGCAGAGACCATACCATTGTGATCACCGTCAGATGAGGTATCTGCGTCAGTGCCAGATTCAAACGGAGAGGGTGGCTGAGACCCTTGAGCGGATGACTCCGCTTGGCCCCAGAGGGTTGCGCCCGATGGCGGGCTTGCAGTGTAGGCGGCGCCTGGCGCGTAGTTCGACCAGGCGTTCGCCTCCGCTGCCTCTGCCGATGCCTGGCCGGTCTGCCCTAAGAGGGCAGTGGCCTCGTTGGGCATATCGGCTGAATCAGCCCAGGGACTTGGCTCGCCAGGACCAGCGGGTGACCCCGCAGTCGTGGCGTAGACACCTGCATGTGCGTGGTGCCCTGTGAAGATGCCCGCAATGTTGCCAGGAGAGCGCTCGGCAACATGCCCGTAGTTCCTCATCCTGGTCAGCAGCCTATCATAGTCTGCTTGCGTTCTGGGCATCTGATGATTGAAGGGCTCCAGCAGGTGTTGGGCTCGTGACGCGCCAACGCCTAACGCTCTGAAAAGGATCAGCGTTAGGATCTGAAAGTTGGGGATGACAAATCCAACAGAGTTAGCCTCGTCACGGGCCATCTCGAATCGAGCTAACACTGAGTCGATTCGCTCGCCCCTTTCGACGCGAAAGTCGATAAGGGCAGTGCCAGAGTTGAGCTGGCGCTCATCTTCCAGATTTTCAAATTTGGTACTCAATAGATAAAGTATATAAGTAACTGCATCCGTTGGCTGTCCGTTGACATTTACACCATAATTGATGATCTGGGAGGGGACCTGCATGGCGATACGACGAGCAAGGCCTTGAAGACCACGTTGTAGTGCTGCAGCTTGCTGAGGTGGCGTCATATTGCCGCTCGTCACGTTTATCCATGCATGTACTTCGCGAACGTACTCGCGAAAGGGCGTAGTACCGGCTGGGTCCCAAGAAGGGCCGGTAGTACGCGTGTCGTCCATCCCCTGCCGCATGTAGCCCACAGCACATCCCATTATCACCCATAGAATGCCGAAGATAGTTATCTTGATCCAGTGCATGTGCATCTCGGCTTCGGTGATTGGTTTAGGCTGTGGTTTGTCAGGCTCGGGCGTAGTAGCCGTAAGGCGCCTGACCGGCACGGGATGCAGGTGGCCCCGCTGCGGGTAGCCCCGCAGAGTGACCACGTTCTCGATCGAGTTGCCGATTGGCATCTGGTGGAAGTCGGGAGTGAAGTAGCGCAGTGAGGTAGGAGAGAGCGTCTCGAGCTCGCGGGTCGCCCCGCTAGCCCGATCGCGGACTGGCTCCGCTCCTCGCAGAGCCGGCGCAACATGGTATTCCACCGTAGTAGTAGTCCACCAAGTTGTGCCGTGGATGATGGGTATTAGAGCGAGAGCCAGCCACACGAGAGTGTAGCCAGCTCCGCTACCAAGTCGAAAACGCACTGGTAAGCCAAGATATATGTTCCGCCTTAGGCGCTCCCATATCCCAGGCTTTGGCTCATACCGCATGAGCAAGAGAGCAAGATGAAGCATGGGATCTGGAGTAAAGGATAGAAGGGGCATCTTCAATAGAAAGGTCTTTTCCGATCTCAGATGCGAGTAGTGCGCCTCGGTGAGGCAAAATCACATGTTCGGCCGGGCCCGGCTTGAGCCAGGCACGGCAGCGGTGCATGCTCGATTTACATATCGCCTTTAACCCTCTCCGTTTAAAGTTCAAGAGGCTCCCAACATGCCCCCAAGAGGCCCCGAAGATGCCCCAAGAGGCCCCGAAGCAATCCCCAAGAGGGCTCAAAACTGCCCCCGAGAGGCCCCCCACGAGATCCCAATGAACACCCAGGCTGTATAACCACAACCCAGGCACGATCGCGGGATGGGACGAAGGCCGTTAGATAATTCTCCACAGCGCTCTAGAGGGCCCAATGGACATCCAGGATCGCACCAACAACAGCTAACAAGGTCACATTCGGTCCCTCAGAGACCGCCCAAGGTGAGATCAACACAGCCCAATACCATGTCCTCAAAACTGATGAGCTCCAAGAAGTCCCCAAGAGCACATCCAAGAGCCAAGTCAACAGCCCGCATGTTTCCAATGACCTCGACACTCTCGCAGTTTCGGACTCTGGCGCGGTCCAGACGACCCACGGGACCCCGAAGGATCGCCCAAGTGATTCCCCGAAATGTTATTGCGACAACCGACAACTAGAGGTTTTGTAATGCAACTCTTTCGGGGCCCATGCCAAGGACTCAGGATGGTTCAGCCTCGAAGGCTCAAGACGGCTCTTGCTAAATATTGGCTCTTCGCCCCGCACGTTTCGCGGTGCTGCGCACGTGTAAAATGTGCCCGCCACATGGCGTTGTCTCTGATTGAACAGTTGGCGACCTCACGTGTCAGTCATGGACCTATCAGGGAAACCTGAGAGAAGCTTGTGCAGGCGGGAGGGGGGGCGTGGACCAACTGAAGCGCCCTGTAGCCCCTCCGGTTGCCGTTGCGCACGAAGATGGCCTCCCAGCGCTTAAGCCTCCTCGGGATGTGGCGTCCAGGACTGCTGGTGAGGTGATGTGATGGGGGCGGAAAGATAAGAGGGATGAGGCACATAGGAGGAGTGAAGATGCAGAAGAAGGCACGAGGAAGAGGAGGGCGGGAGAGGGAGAGGCGAAACGGGAGGAAACGGCGAAAGGGAAGGATTGACCAGGCGTGTGCGAGAACATAACTTGCGCGCTCCAGGGAAATGTTCTGGCTGGACTGCGCAGAAGATTATGGGGTATGCCTGGCTCTCTGAGAGGATTTATTACCCCAGGGTGGAGCGAAAGGTACTTCAGTGGACCTGCTCGGCATTATTCATCCTACCCTTTATCCTCATGCGACCCGAATTGTACGTGATAACTGCGGTCTGGGGTTACTCTGGTTTGGGCCCCCGAGGCGCGAACCCGCAGCCACCCCTGACCGCCACTAGCATTGATAGTTCGGGAGGGTTGGACGCTCAAATTATCCTGGCCCGCATCCACCTCCATCCCCATCCGCTCTCCATCAGCGTTCGAGAACCCCTCCTGCCCTCTCCACTGTCGTCCTCATTTTCAACCTCCCCACCCCTCCCTATCTACTGGCTCTCGCCTTCTCCATCCTCTTCATCCTGCCAAAGTCTCGGCATCCCTCTCGACGATCATCCCACCAATCACCTGCCCCCCCGCGTCTTTCACGTTCCCCCGTGCCCCATCATTCCCTCAGGGATGGAGGGGAAGGGGATATGATGGGAGGCAAAGCGTGGCAAGGGACGGGGGGGAGGTGGGAAGCAGGCAGAGGAGGAGGATCGAGGTGGGGTAAGTGGGCATCACGAGGAGTAATGTGGGAGGATTGGAGAGGAGAGGGGGGATTAAGTGATGGGAAAATATGCGCAGATGCGCGTGTATGTGCCCGGAAGGCCGGGCGGCGCAATACTGGGAGCGTTCCACGGATGTCACGGAGGAGGTGTGGCACCCCAGGGGGGGGGGGGCATGAAGTCGAATCAGCACTAAGCTGCCAGGCAGAGGGGGGGGAGGAGGGGAAGGATGACCCCCATCAGCTACGGCTCCGATGGGCTCCGCCAGCCCGAGGCTGTAAGTCTGCCCGTCGCCCCCTCGCATTCAGCTCCCCTCTATTCCTCACTCGAGCTGCCCCGCCGCGTACCACTCCCTGCGGTGAAGAGCGAAGAGCCGACCTTCGCCCGCACGGACGGGGCCCCACTTCTTCGCTGCCCGCGTCCGAGGGGACTTGCGCGCGGGCCAATGGAGACCCGCGCCACGGCAGCGGACGGCCTCGAGTGCTCCGAGTTGCTGCCGCTGCGCCTGAACCGGCCGCGGCTCGAACCCATCGCCGGCGAGCCGATGCTGCCAACTATGCTCGACCCGCCACCCGATGCCCTGGCCAGAGCCATGGAGCTGTGACGGAGCAGGCTGTCGAAGATGCTTCCGGAATATTAAGACCGTAGCGCGACGGGTGATACTCACCAAGCATGCTGCGCTGAACGCTAAGCGTTAGCAGCCAGCTGCTGTCCTGGAGGCACGCCGATCTTTGGACCCGCGCCACGATGCCCAGCGGCCTCAAGTGTTTGCCAAAAACAACTTCTCGAAGACGGCCCCGCTCCACGGAGGCTTGTCAAATTCTGCATGGAAGTTGTGGCGGCGGACGAAAGAGCGGAGAGCAATGCTGCGTAGCACTCATTTGGAACATGTAGACATGTGTGATTGTACCTATGCGTACCTGTGTATATGTACTCTTATATGTAGGTCTATGTCTATAAACATGCACGAGCATCAGGATTGAGGGGGCGCCAAGCCCATGTGCAAAGAAAACCGCAACAACGCCGGGGCCAACCTCGACCGAGCCAGTGTCAGTAGCGTCAGCCGCCGGCGCAGAGGAACATAGAGATTGCTTCCCGACGGCTCAACAATCAATCAAAATTACCAACACTCGGACATCTGACTCATGAAACGAGAAAGCGTCAGCGATGACTGCCCAATCCCTGGGGCAAGCTTCCAAGCTTCCCAGCTGCATCCAACTGCTGGGAAGGTGGCTGTACAACTGTCCGTCGGCCTCCTTGCCTTCGTTGTCGGGCTTCAACTACGCCTCCAAGAACGCCAGTGTTACGCCGTCGAGTGAAATATTACCGATCTTCGTCATCGACTCAATGTGGCAACCAGCATGGGAGACAAACTGGAGTACTTGCCGCGCGGCGTATGCGAGGGACTCGCCACGGCGCCGCTGGACCGACAACGGCGTCGGAGGCAGAAACTTGACGCAGGAAGTTTGCGCATAAAATCTGAAATACAATCACTCCTGCACACGCGCCCAAAGTGCAAAAGTAAACAAAAACGAATCAATAACAACTGGCCTGCTCGGTGCGCCCAATCGTGTCGGAAGCACTTGCTCTTCGGACCAGCTCGGGCTTCAACTACGCCTCCAAGAACGCCAGTGTTACGCCGTAGAGTGAGTTATTACCCATCTTCGTCATCGACTCAATGTGGCAACCAGCATGGGAGACAAACTGGAGTACTTGCCGCGCGGCGTATGCGAGGGACTCGCCACGGCGCCGCTGGACCGACAACGGCGTCGGAGGCAGAAACTTGACGCAGGAAGTTTGCGTTTAACATCTGAGATACAATCACTCCTGCACACGCGCCCAAAGTGCAAAAGTAAACAAAAACGAATCAATAACAACTGGCCTGCTCGGTGCGCCCAATCATGTCGGAAGCACTTGCTCTTCGGACCAGCTCGGGCTTCAACTACGCCTCCAAGCACGCCAGTGTTACGCCGTCGAGTGAAATATTACCGATCTTCGTCATCGACTCAATGTGGTAACCAGCATGGGAGAACAACTGGAGTGCTCATCGCGCGGCGTATGCGAGGGACTCGCCACGGCGCCGCTGGACCGACAACTTGAGCGAACCCTGCCCGCAAACGGTCTCCAAGAGAAGCACCCCAAGACTCCAACAAGCAGCTGGCTTAGGCAAGTGCGACTCGTTCAGCACCAACTCTGGAGCCACGCACGGCAGAGATCCGCACAGGGTATCCCTTGCGCTGGAGTTTGAGACGTGGGCTGCCATAATGAAATCAACAAGGCGGCATATGTGCCCATTCCATGCTGTCTCTACAGGCACATGTCTCAAAGACACTTGCCCATGGACGACGTCCTGGGAAGGGCAGCAAGACAAAGCACTGGCGATCTGGGTACTGCAATCCAAGGCGTCGTCCCTGGACAAACGGTACCCAGGTTGAGTCGACAACACCTGCACCACGCACAAGTCTCCACCATACTGGAGAACCAAATGCACACTACACTGGCTGTACAACATGCCTACGCAACGGATGATGTGCGGGTGGGTGGTCGAGGGTGCGCGTCAATAAACAGAATTCCTGGTATATGCTCTTCACCTGCTTGGCATCGGCGACGCTGCGCTTGTCGTACACTTGGATCACTACGTTTTCATCCTGCCCGTTCATCGCCAACGACACGTGCTAGCGGTCCGAATACGGGCGCACGAGCTGAAAATCCCCAACCCGACTCCCACATTTCAGAAGACGCTCGTCCAGAGGCGCGAAATCGGGCATCAGCAGATCTGGAATGTCGTTCCAGAGCAAACTGCAGAACTCGTCCTCCATGTCTTTGAGCTGCATGGCAGAGGGCACTCCCTGTTTCAACGTTCTGATATGCGCCCGCACGCGCAGCTGGATGGCGGCGTTCTCTTGGAGCTCCAAACTCATCCTATGTTGCAGCCCACCCGGGTCACCTGCCAGCCCCACCAGCACGCCATCCGCCCCACAGCGTTAGAGCCTGTCATGCCGCACCATCAAATTAATAAGGTCGGCCTTGGTCAGATCAGGATCCAACCGATCTGGAAGCTGCACTACCAGGAAGACGACCGCGTCGGGATGCGCCGCCCTAAGATAGTCCAGAAGACCTTCCTCGCTTCTCTTCTCTTTCTTCGCCCTGTATACGGATACGATCAACACGACCTCGGGCTGCTCCACTATCTGGGCGATGCGTTCCAACTCTGACTATCCACGCTCCGACTCCGATGCCCCAGATGCCAACACGGTGGCTGGATTCTCCTGCGAGCTCCACAGCACCAGGATCAAGAAGCCTAATGCCAGCGTGCTTGGTGCGACACTGATGAGATATGCTTCCCCCACCCTCTGGATCGCACTGAGTGTTGCCATGATGTATAAGCCATGCGACTGGCAACCAAGACACTTGCTGAAGCGGCACCTCCAGCCAAATTGCTTCTCGAGCCAAACTGGCTATGGGTTTTGTCTTGGCGCCCTCTTGAGATGTCTCGGGGCTCTCTTGTGCGCCTTTTTGTGCCGTCTGCGAGCGTCGTGGGGCGGAGCAGGCGACCACACCAAATCCTTGAAAAACCGACGTGACAACAACGATGTTCGCCCCTGGGGCCTCTCTCGGGGAACAGCTTGAAACTTTCTTGGGGCGTCTTGAAAGCCACGTGACCTGTCTCGAAGCGGTGGCCGGCGTGCTGGGAGAGTTTGTGTGTTTTCTGGCCCCCTTGAGGGCCCTTTTCGGTGGCCTCAGGGCTGCCTTGAGAGCCTTGTTGGCGGGTCAAGGGTCCAGACTCGTTTGGCCCCCCGTGCCACACTGGGGCAGCGGTCTGGCCCCCTTAGGGACTACCCATACATATATATATATATATATATATAGGCCTCAGCACCCCACACGAAACCCCTGTTCTCTTGGAAGATGCCAAGAAAAAAGGGAGCGGAAGCGCGTTGAGTTTCGGTTATCGTGTTGTGTTGTGTTGTGTTGGTTGGAGCCAAAGCGTTGTGTTGTGTATCGGGGTGTTGTGTATTGGTTGCTGTGTTGGAGACGGAGGGAGTTGAGTAGAAGGTTATTTTCATGTTCACCTTGGGAAGGAGCCTGTTGAGTATCGAATGTTGTGGTGGAGAGGGAGGCTGTTGAATACTGGGTGCCGTGCTGGAGACGGAGGGAGTTGAATAGAAGGTTATTTTCAAGTTCAACTTGGGGAGGGAGCCGATTGAGTATCGGGTGTTGCGTTGGAGAAGGAAGCTGTTGAGTACTGGGTGCTGTGTCGGAGACGGAGGGAGTTGAAAGGACGGTTAGTTTCAAATTCATATTGGGGAGGGAGCCTGTGGAATATCGGGTGTTGTGTTGGAGAAGGAGGCTGTTGAGTACTGGGTGCCGTGTTGGAGACGGAGGGAATTGAAAGGAAGGTTATGTTCAAGTTCATCTTGGGGAGGGAGCCGGTTGAGTATCGGGTGTTGTGTTGGAGAAGGAAGCTGTTGAGTACTGGGTGGTGTGTTGGACACGGAGGGAGTTGAGCAGAAGGTCAGTTTCAAGTGCATCTTGGGGAGGGAGCCTGTGGAGTATCGGGCGTTGCGTTGGGGAAGGAGGCTGTTGAGTACAAGGTGTTGTGTTGGAGACGGAAGGAGTTGAATAGAAGGTGATTTTCATGTTCATCTGGGGGATGGAGCCTGTTGAATATCGGGTGATGTGTTGGAGAAGCAGGCTGTTGAGTACTGGGTGCCGTGTTGGAGACGGAGGGAGTTGAGTAGAAGGTTATTTTCAAGTTCATTTTGGGGAGGGAGCCTGTGGAGTATCGGGTGATGTGTTGGAGAAGGAAGCTGTTGAATACTGGGTGGTGTGTTGGAAACGGAGGGAGTTGAGTAGAAGGTTATTTTCAAGTTCATCTTTGGGGAGGAGCCTGTTGAGTATGGGGTGTTGTGTTGCAGAAGGAGTCTGTTGAGTACTGGGTGCTGTGTTGGAGACGGAGGGAGTTGAGTAGAAAGTTATGTTCAAATTCATCTTGGGGAGGGAGCCGGTTGAGTATCGGGATCGTGTATTGCGGGATTGAATATCTGGGGCTGGTGGAAAAGGGTGCACTTGCAGGGGGTGAACATCGCTCCGAACTTGAGCCCAAAAAGTCTTCCAACAAAAAACCTCAAAATTGAGTCCGGGAATCGTGGGAATCATATATACATTCAAATGGAATCAGGAGAAAAGGGGGTTCTTGTGGGGTTCGGAGGGCTATATCTATATATATACACATACATACTGACTGGAACCATCGAGCGCGCTTCGCGCGCGCTTAGGTTCTAGCTGGTCGAGTGCTGACCGCATTGGGACAACACGGCGGTCATGAATAGTGAAGACAGCATTCTCTGGTTCCTCCTGCCTCTCCTCATTCCTGCTCTTCCGCTCTCATCGACCGGTCGACCGGTGTCTGTCGCCAAGCTATGGGCCAGGAGAAATGCAGCGCTACAGCGCCATGTTGCACTATGCTATGTAATGCCATGGTACACCATGCCACGCTGTAAAGCGCAATGTCACGATGCAGCATGCAGTGCAATAGCATGATTTACTCTACAATACGCATTGCATGCCATGCCATGCGGTCCTGTGAAATGATATGATCGTATATTCGATGGTGCGCTGAACTATATCATGCTATGTTTACTACGAAAACGATGCTACCGCGTTACATGGTATGCACAGACACGGCATGCGGGGTTACGCAATGCAATGCAATGCTATGGAGTTTTATGAGATGCCAGTCTAAACTATATCGGCGGTGGAGAAACTTCCCTTTCGGAAAACCTCCCTTTAGTGAAAACGGCCTGGGACCGAAACCGACGGACCTGAACCCGCAAACATGACGGCCGCGACGCCCTCTCGCGAACCGAAAACGGCCAATTCACTAATCGACGTGTCAGGGTAGGAGGTCTGTCCACCTCCGACTATAGAGGACGACAGTAAGGACAACCAAGGGGGTGTGATATGTGCATGATTTCTGTTTATTGTTGCGCATAGCAAGACGGTGTTGTTCGACTCATAGATGTGCATTGTAATGCCACAGTCTATAATCCGCCACGATGCTTTATGAGATATGAGATGCAATGCAATGCAAGGCAATGTTACGTCATGACGTGCAGTGCTAGGCTCAGCTAGACACTGCTGTGTAATGCAATGCTATGGCATGCTGAGTTATACTGTGATATGCACTGACATGGTTAGTTCTGTCGTGCTGTGCCGTGCCATGCCATGTCATGCAACGATGCGATTGCACGATAGGTTGGGCGGTCCTTTGCTATGCACCGGCATGTTTGGGAGGCCTCTTGGGAGCCGTTTGGGGTGCTTTAGCTGGGCTTTTTTGGAGCCTCGTGGGACCTCTAGGGGGCCTCTTGGGCTCTGTTGGGGGCCTCTTGGGGCCTCCTGGATGCCTCTTGGGGCGGAAGGCTCGAACTGTCGATTCGCGTTCCCCGTCTTGGGCCACTCTTGAGGCCGTCTTGGGGCCCTCTTGGGCAATCATGGGCGCCTCTTGGGCCGTCTAGGGGCACTCTTGAGCCATCTTGGGACACTGTTGCGCCGTCGTGGCGCCCTCTTTGGGTGCCTCTTAGGCCGTCCCGTCTTGAGCTGACTTCTGGGACCTCGTGGGCTGTCTTGGACCGCCGGAAGCACGAAACAGCGAGAGAAATGAAAAACCTTCAAGCACAATCGGAAGATATACTTGTTCCTCCTCCAGAGTGCCTCGAGGGAGTCCTTTTGAGGGCATCTTGGCCGTCTTGAAGCCCTTTTGGCCCGTCTTCAAGCCATGTTGGACCAATTTTGAAACGCTCTTGTGCAGGCTTGGGCTCTCTTGGAGCGCTATTGGACCATCTTGGCGCCCTCTTGGACGTCTCTCGGCCCCCTTTGCGCCGTCCGCCAGGCCCGAAACGGCCGGAAGACAAATTAGTGCCCTTTGGGGGCCACGGGACCCCCTACTCATTCATATGTTATAGATGCATGCATACATACTCATACATCTCCATACACATACACATACTGTTGAAGCGGTTAATATTACAGTAATAATTCCCTGAACAATTTTTCCGGTAATGTAATGGGCGTGCGTGACTTTCTGGTTGGATTTGTTTGTTCAGGAAGGTGGGTGGATTCTAGAAGGGAATTAACAGGAGTTGGGGAGGATTTGGGAATTGGAGGGGGGTTACAAAGGAAACAGCAGGAGTTGGGAAGTTGGGACCCGGGGATGATTCTACAAAGGAAAGAGCAGGAGTTGGGGGGGATTCTGGAATTGGGGAGGATTCTACAAAAGGAAAAAAGGAGGAGTTGGGGAGGATTTGGGAATTGGGGAGGATTCTACAAAGGAAAAGGAGGAGTTGGGGAGGATTTGGGAATGGGGGGGGTTCTACAAAGGAAAAAGGAGGAGTTGGGGAGGATTTGGGAAGTGGGGAGGATTCTACAAAGGAAAAAGGAAGGGTTGGGGAGGATTTGGGAATTGGGGAGGATTCTACAAAGGAAAAAGGATGAGTTGGGGGGGATTTTGGAATTGGAAATGATTCTACAAAGGAAAAAAGTAGAGTTGGGGAGGAATTTGGAATTGGGGAGGATTCTACAAAGCAAAAAAGAGGAGTTGTGGAGGATTTGGGAATTGGGGGGAGGGGGGGCTTCTACAAAAGAAAAAGGAGGAGTTGGGGAGGATTTTGGAATTGGGGAGGATTCTACAAAGGAAAAAGGAGGAGTTGGGGAGGATTTTGGAATTGGTGAGGATTCTACACAGGAAAAAAAAGAGCTGGGGAGGATTGAGGAATTGGGGATGATTCTACAAAAGGAAAAAGGAGGAGTTGGGGAGGATTTGGGAATTGGGGTGGATTCTACACATAGAAAAAGGAGGAGTTGGGGAGGATTTGTGGAATTGGGGAGGATTCTACAAAGGAAACAGGATGAGTTGGGGAGGATTTGGGAATTGGGAAGGATTCCACAAAAGGAAAAAGGAGGAGTTGGGGAGGATTTGGGACTTGGAGAGGATTCTACAAAGGAAAAAAAATGGAGTTGGGGAGGATTTGGGAATTAGGGAGGATTCCACAGGAAAAAAGAGGAGTTTGGGGGGGATTCGGGAATTGGGGAGGTTTCTACAAAGGAAAAAGGAAGAGTTGGGGAGGATTTGGGACTTGGGAGTATTCTACAACGGAAAAAGAAGCTGGGGAGGGTTTGGGAATTGGGGAGGATTCTACAAACGAAAAAGGAAGAG